CCCGTACTTCCGCTCCCTCGTATAAAACGCCTGGTGCACATCGCGCGAGGTTATTAGCGATGCGAATATCAAGCCTGGGGATTGGGTGAGAGAAGTCCGGCACTGTTGGAAGCACTGTGGAAATATTGGCACGCTATAGAAACAGGTCCGTGGCAGAGGGATAGATCGCAAGAACGGACTGATAACGCTGGAGAGAAAGGATCGATACATGGGAGAAAGAAGAAAGAAAAAAATGATGGAAGAAAAATAACTGGGATATGGTAGTTCAACTTCATATTACCGAGCGATCATTGCCCTTTATTTCACAGGTGCAAACGGGGGAGGAAATATTGGAAAATTTTTTTCACTTGATGTTAATGACATTCTTCGCTGTCTAATTATTATCAACGTGTAATTACGTACCGCGAGTAACGAACTGCAATTTTTCACTCTGAAATAAATCGAATTGTTCGGCGAATGTTTCACGAACGAACTGCAATTTCTGCCACCAAAACGGAAGTTGTCGAGATTCAATTTGGAAGTAAACACACGCGAGCAGGATGTTCGCATCGAAGGATCGTGCAAACGGAAACTTTAAAATCAATCTGGAATTGAAAGATCGTGCAAGCCAGACATAGCTTTCCGTGTGAATTCCTTCGACCAAAGGGGTAGATCATTCGATATTCACCGCGTCCAACGAACCCAGACGCGCTCGCGCCTAATTGCAAAGTTGGCGAAAACAAGAAGTATCTGGCAAACACGGAACGGGTAAATACAGTAGGGTTCGTTTGTTTAAGAGACGGAGAAGTGGTGTGCCATCTCTGATTCTCCGGCATAATGGACGATCCCGAAGCAAGAAAGCGGAGGGGTGCGAAGACGGGGAGAAGAAACAACTAAAGGTAGAGAAAGGTGTTCCTTCGTGGGGAGGAAAGAGAGAGAGAGAGAGAGAGAGAGAGAGAGAGAAAGGAGACTCTTGTTTGCAGATCATTATAGCATGTCAAAGAGGGAAGAGAGGATTTCGCTGTTTTTTCGCTAACTGACCTCTCGCTAATAAAACAGAGCTTGCCGGAAGGATGTGTTCTGAAATAAAGCGCCTCTGGCATCATCAACCCTCGCCAGTGTTTGTCTCGTCTCGCTAATTAACGTCTGCCTGCACGAAATGACCACTCCGCCAAGTGACTACGTTTATTTCTTTTTCTCTTCCCCCACCCCCTTTTCTCTTTTTTCGCGAAAAAATGTTGCTCGCAACGTTCGTCCCGCTGATCCTTTCGCGTCTCCAAGACTCCAACGGGAAGTCTTACGAATTTTCTCGTAACGCTCCTCCAGATTTAATCCCGGTTTTCAGCGCGTTAATTTTTGATCGTGCGCTCGATTAGACGGTGGACTTGATTAAATTTCTTTCGTTTTTCCTTTTTCCTCCCCACGGCGGATAGACATTCAAGCCGCACGCACGCGCACGAAACTTCATAAATCTGAACAAATGGAATTTGCCTACTACTCCGGCTCCTCCAGCCGGCAGACCTACCACCCTTTTTGTTTATGGAGAAATATTAACGCGAGTTAGCTTTTCCTCCGTACTTTCGCTCGAACGCTCGAGGATTCTTTGATTAACGATTCTGATTGCAGAAACGCGGCAGGTCGCGGAATCTACGTTTAGAATTGGATACGCGCCGTAAACCGATCATGAATTTATGATACTTCATTGCTCGCTCGTACGAATCCACGAAAGTATTTCCGCGATATATCTCGGTTATCCCTTCTCCCAATCGCCTCACGTTTCTGCCTCGTCATAGAAATTAACATTTTAATTAAGAGTACGCTAAAGCAAACGTCCGGCCATCCATCCTACCGTATCAACCTCGTCAGGGATTTGCGAACATCTATCGCGAAAGGAAAAGAAAAGAGATACAAATTAATACACTGAACGATCGCCGAAACGAATTGTACGTTGTAAGGCGCTCGGAGAATGAAAAAAAGGAAAGAAGAATTGCCATTAATCCTAATTGGCTTTATTGAAAAATTCAATCGTTCAGTCTTGAACTACGAAGCTACGTTAGTTGCGTAATTAACTGTTGGATACGAATGATGTCGTTGTCGATCGAATCGATAACTCGATGGAAGGAGCAAGAAAAAAAGAAGAAACGAGAGAAGCAATTAATTACGAGAAGTTTCTCACGTAGAAACAAGGGGGAGAAGAGGTTGTTAATTACAGTGAACAGAGGTGTGCGGTTTTGTTCCAAGCGTGCCTATGAGAATTATTCTGTAATTGACACAAAGAGAATACGCAATACACTGTTGCTGTACCGATTCGCAAAGCATACGGTGATTCTGTGACCCGATCGAGCGCGGTTTTTGAACGTTTGATTAGTTAATTAATAGAATCCGTTTCCGACTGCGTTCTACTACACAGCACCGTAACATTTGATATCAAACGAGGGCTGTATCGCCGTTTCAACAACGTGTCAATAATCTTTGTTTGATGCTTATTAAAGCAGTTTAGACTATTATACTCGAAAATTTGCAGTGTTTGTAAAATGGTATTATCGTAAGACTTTTCGGTCTGGAAATTGGTGGTGTTATCGTTGCGTGAATTGACGATAAGAACGTGATTTGCATAATACGAGTAAACTTAAGTAAATTTGTCGCGAAAGGAAGAAACGTAATTCATTGGGTGGATATTATCGCGATATTAATATTAATTCTTCAAGTGGAGAACGGGAAATGTTGTAGCAGAATTTACGCGTCTATGTTAATTCTCTTCTGCTCTTTGCAATAAAATACCATCAAGCTTGCACACAGACAACTTTCCGTTTGTGTAGCCGAAGCGAGCCACGATTAAGCCTGATATACTGCTATTTATATATCAGCAAAGTCTAATCTAATAGCGTGCAAATATATCTTAAGACAATACAGTGCATAAACCAACAACGTTATCGGTTAAACATGATAGAATTCCGTGTACACACAATCTTCAGAGCAAAGAAAACCGAGCATTATTTCAGGATTATTAACGACTTTAAACCGCCATCGGAATACTCTGCGTTTCTCTCGCAATCTATGACACGTACAGAATGACTTACAATTGCATATTTAAGTCACAAGGATTGCGTGTAAATACATTGAAAAGAAACATTTTACACGGGCAGGTAGAGTATTTAAACGTCGAAACGTTTTTCTATAAAATTTCCGAGACACTGTCAAAGTAACAGCCGTTTTCTTACATCGTCCAATCATTTCCGCGTTACGTCAGAAGAAAGAATTAACTAAACGTCACTCCGACGTTTCCTTCAATTTGTTAAAACGCGAAGAACGAACGGCCGAGACATTCACGCGGCGTAGATGGAGCAAAGTTTGATTTATTATAAAATCCAAGAAACAAGGAAAACCGTGTACAGCCGGGTCAATTGATTGATTAACGCGCCCGGAAACGGCGTTTCATTACTTATTCCAGGCGTCTAACAAGATCTTATTGATCGCGAAGTTGGTATAGCTAATTGTCATTCATTTTGCTTGAACTTTAAATGAAGCTTCAGCCGAGGTTCCCATTGTTTTCGGGCGCGAGGCTAGAGTATCACTGTCGGTTATCGCGAACCTCGTATCGAGATAAGTTTCCCCGTTGCAAAGGAACGGGAAGCGATGCTATACACCACCTTAGGGAGAGCGAAACTCAATAATTATGCCATAGTTGGCGAACGAATTATCTAGCCGTGTTTTCTTGACGTGCTGTAGACTTCCATTAGAAGGGGCGAACGGCTCGTTAAGAAAGTTTTCATTTCCGCGACGTGCACTCGAGGCTACATTCAATTGTCTGTCCTCGTGATCGTTTTACCAAATGAACTTTCGACCACTTATTCTCGCCTCCAGCTTTGTCTTCGAAATCATCCGCGTTATGACTACCACGTTCAGTCACTACCTTCTTAAAACACCGACCTTTGGCTTGCCGAGTTTCAACGGGTAAATCTATCAAGGTCCGTGCGATTAGAAACAAAGATTTGTTTCAACTTCTATCATTGCGCGTTTCTGCGTTTCTACGAAATAATATCTACAGTCAGATTCAAACACCAACGGTGGCCGCACGCCAGCGCGCCCATCAGATTAGACAAATGCGTAGAATCAGACAGACACCGAGATACGCAACTACACACTACGCTACGACATTACATGAATCATGCGTGACCCCATTCCAAACTCCATCTAAATAGGAAAATCTCAACTCGACGACTGTTTGAGTATCTGTGAAATATATCGAGCGATAGTACACTTACAAGATTCAAGTTTCAAATAGTTTAAACAAAATTTCCAGTCGACGCATCGCTCGTCCTAAAAATGTCATGCTTCTATCGATACCAAAAAATTCATTAACTGTCCCTTTCGTTGCTTCTGATCTAAATTCGTTCCTCCACGTAAGAATTTCGAAAAATTGTTCGATCTTGCTGCGAGTGTAAAGATCGCGATAAAATAAAAAGGGACGTCGTATCGTTAACCCAATCGTCGTCCAGGGTCACCTACAAGTGAAAGTTTCATTAAACGAGGACGTGGAAGGTGTTGTGAAACGAGCTGTAGGAAATGTACGCGTACCACACTACCGACTGACCTCCGCATCGATTATGACGTGCGACAGAACGGTGTGGGAAACAGCGTGAGCTAAAACGAGAAAAGGAATGCATCGTTCGAAGGAGGGGATCACCGGAGTTCACAGTTGCGCTCGATCTACACCGAATGGCGCATGCGTGTTGCTTTGTAAAATCATCTGTTACGTTGGCGTAGCTCGAAGGGACCTGAAAATTTTCGTGTAACCGTGTTCTCCTCGACGACGACGACGACGACGACGACGGTCGTCGTCTTTTCAACGACTCTCCTTTACCGACAGTTCCCAACGTTCATTGAATAAGAAACGATCGAGTGCATGCGCGAACCGTAACCGAGACAGTATTTTCAGAGCCACTGTTTCAGGCTCGCTTCACGCTCGAGAGGCAGGGAATAAAAACGGAGCGTGTTTACGATGAAAAAACAAGACTCACGGTTTGTCCGGCTGCGACCTACGTGCCAGCATTTCGGCCTTCTGGATCTCCTCGGCCCGTGTCACGCTTTTCGTTCTCCTTAACCTCACCCTTGTGTCGTTCTCATGCTCCATCGTCATATCGTTGCTCTGCGACGAGGGACGAGCACCATGCGCGCTCTATGCCGTACAGGAAGACTCGCACACAGTCGCACACAGTCGCACACAGTCGCGCACGAACCAGCACCACACGAACGCAGCTAACTCGGTGATACGGCTCGCAATTCCCGTTTACACCAAGAGAGTAGAGACGAGACGAGACGTAAGAAAAGACGACGCGCCAAATGAACGAGAACTGTACGAAACGAAACGTTTACGTTCACTGACGACGCGGCAGACCTGATCAAGATTTGCTAATCGACCCGTAAGATCCCGCAGCTCTGACCGGTATGTTTCGCCTGCGAAGCGTCGATACAGCTCGACCGGTAAGATCCCCTTTCGTTTTTATATCGTTTGACCACACACGCGATCGTGTTTACAATGAGACAGTCACGACGATACTACCGGCCTTCGTTGGCCTCCTCGACCGGCTCTGTATTTATCGCTGTTTCTCGCAGATAACAACAAAGTTGCTTTTTCATGGAACCACTTCTCGATCACGTTCCTCGACTTGAATACACTTTCTGCGATAGAGGGCATGAGTGTTTTGTTTCTTTTTAGGAATTGTGTAAGCTTTCCTTTCGACTCTTTATTTTGACAGATTACGCAAGCTTCTTACCACCTGCAATACTTTTCAGCACAACATAAAACGTGAAAAATGTAAATTTCTTCTTTTGTTTTAATCATACAGCTTGACAAAGGAAAAATATTGAACAATGTTGACATTAAATGACACGACAAGTAAGAGGAAGTTTAACTGGCTAACAGCAAAGTATAATTGTCTTTGAATGATTAACTTGTGAATAGTTCAATTGCAGCATAATACACGTATCACTGTGTCTCTGACATAATGGGTCAAATGGATGTATGCCACGATGTCAATGTCTATTTTAGAAATCGAATTCCATCGACCGTGCGATGGACGTATTTATATTTTAATTGGCTATATCTCGTCACGATTAGAAACGTCTCGAAAAATGTAGAGACTGTAGAAGCTTTATCCGTTTTCTGCTTCATCGCGTTGCTATGACTTCTCTGTCACGAACAATTACTTCGTTGTCAGTTTGTGGCATAATTCATTAAACATGTTGTGCCCCGACCGCGCTGTGTAATTTAACTTCTTCTCAAGATTGTAACTTTAAACGCAAACACGCTCGCGAACAGGTACGCGAGTGTTCTTCCTTTCTCCCGTTCTCGCCGGTGAAAGAAACTGCTCTTACCTGCTCACGACATTCAACACACAAACTTGACGCGAATAATTAGGTAATTAGTTGTAATCGTTAAAGAGAATCTCGAGGATTTAACCACCGGGTATAACACGCGTTCATTTTTGCTGTCGTTCGAATAAAACGGCGGACAGCCGGCAATTAAAATGGATAATTATCGCGTATCGTAATCCGGCTTTACGACTTGAAACTTTATACTTCGCAATGGTAGTTACAATTTGATTGCACTTTCGTTCTTTCGTTGCCCGTAATAAAACGGAATTCCCTGAGTTTTCACGATCAAGCAAGAAAACTAATGACGTATTATCTCCAACCCGTGACAAAGAACGGGGGGACAAGAGAAGATAACGAGGATATCGTAAACGAATGTATTCGTATAAAATCAAGAAATTCTATGTTGAAGTAAATCACTCGATATTAACGACTAGATAGGTTAATTAATATTCCCTGCGCGTGTTCTTTGGATTGTGCACGTTGTATTATCAAACCAGCAGAGTGTTCTTTAATTGCTGTTTCTTTCCGCAATCACAAGCCAATGTTTCCCCAGGCATATCGCGAAAAATCGATTAAGAAACACCAACGGTGGGTACGCGGTAATTATCCTGGTCAAAATATCCATTAAGATGTCGCGATGTCGCAAGCTTTGTTTTTTAAGTTTGTCGATTGGGGAAGTTCCATTCGGTTCGTCGGCGACTCTAGCTATGGAGGGAACTACCCGGCAGCTCCGACAAATGGTCGAAAGTTTCGGAGTAAATAACCCGGTGGCCAAATACGTGAGACAATTTCGCGTGTCAATTACGCGACTTTTCGAATCCTTGGCTAAGCTGAAGGACCGTCAGTCCCTGGAACGGACGAGGACAGACACCGTTCGGAAGAAAAGCTAATTAAAGTGGTGCATCCGCGAGCAGAAAGCCGCAAAGATCCACGACAAACATACAGGAAATCCGTCCCCTTAAACACCGCGGTGTTTGCCACGATGCATCCACTTTTGACGATTCACAATTAAGCGTGTCTCTTGACGAGCATCGTTGTAAAACGCTATCAAGCTCGTTACTAATTATCTTCAGCCGCGATGTATCAGAACTCGGGAAGCGAAACGATGCCAAATGTAACAGTCTTGTATCGCCAGCGTAAACGACAATCTCTCTTTCGAATAAATTCAATAATCCGACGTGAGGTAGTTGAAAGTAGCCGATTTGTTTTGCAATTCAGTGGAAGATGTAGAGACGATGCTAAAAAAGTAAAGAGGATGGCAAGAAATGAATCACTTTCGCTTTTGTTACTGTCTATTTTCTCAACCTGGAGATATGGAGATATAGAGAATAAATTTACATAAATATACTGACGAAGAACAAGCAGCCACTAAAAATACCGCTTATTCTTACCATCAGAATAATGGTGTGACAGGATCTATAGGAATCACTTGACAAAAGATTGAGGGTCAAGTGGATGTTGGAATATATTGGTACATTAGTAACGAGGAAACGTTCGGAGAACGATTGCGTGAAGATTTGACAGCAATCGACAAGATTACGTGCCGTGAAAGTGAAAGGAACAGGCGATACGATTGAAAAACGAAGAATATCATATTTTGTATAAATAGCGGCAGAATAGAGAGATTCATTCGAGCGTGCTTTAAGAGAGTTGAACGTAGCTCTCGTTGTTTCATTTTATATTTTCCAGTAAAAACTATCCAGCGATTCGACATTCCTAGAATAGCAAACGCCTCTCGCAAAGCTAGAGCTGAATGATGAAATTCGATCGCGCTCTATCAAAAGCGTCATTCCTTCGTTTCGTTCGCCGGGCAAATGAAATAAAACGCTGGCCGATAAAATACAATGAGCCGATCGCATATATTTGCCGAATCCGACCGCAACAAATTTAACCGGCATTTCGGGCCGAAAGGGAACAGCTTAGCCGCGAGTATGTTGGCACGTAGGAACAGTACCGAGCAAAGTCTATATTCATTCTCCGTTTCGCCTCGTTTTCCATCGGTGTACCTCGGGCATGTAACCAGCCCCACACGTTTCGAATAGTCGTTTCCATGTAGGAGAGCGAGATACACGGTGGAGGGAGGAAAGCCGTACCAGTCGTTTACGAACTCCCTTTATGGCCAACCACGGATATTACTGAGCACGGTGGCAAGCACGTTACTCTACATACGTAGTTACACGTCGACAGGATCTCCGCGGACATTTGCCGAGCCCCGGCGTGACGCAACGGCAGCGGGCCACGGGGCTTTGTAGAATTCGGCGGTTGCGCTTACGCTCGACAGCGTCTTTTTACTGGCCACTTTGCACCGACCGCGGTATCTAATATCCCCGGCACAGTCTCCTCGATTTTAAAAAACCCTGTCACGCGACGACCGTAATAAAAGGGAGACGGAGACTGGGAAAATGGGAGAATTCTGAAAATTGTGCGGAGGGTAAAAAGCACAGAGAGCGAGAACGTCGTTACGGGAGGGCGGGGACGTTGGTGAACGTGCAGCCTCTATGAAACCGTGGACAAGTCGATTAAACGATACCTGGCACGGTCGTGGCCTCGTGGGACACCTTCTCCGGCAACGCGTTTTAAAATTACACCAAGCGCTCCACCCGTTTCGCTGAACCGCGAGAAAAAATAAGCTTCGGTTTATCTTTCACAAAAATAACACGTTTCGCGCGGCTTCTCCCGCAGAGGGAAAAGAGACGAAAAAAAGGAGGCAAAAAAAAAAAAAAGAGGAAAAAAGAAAGGAATTCACCGGGAGCGAAGCGTGATTTTTATTGAGCAATCGTTCGACACACTCGTTCGTTCGAAAACGTTATCGAAAGCTGCGCCAACGATTTCAGAACGACTACAAAGAAGAATAGCCTCGCACGTTTACTGTGACACGGTCGCGTTATCCGGCCACTAAGCGGTTCGTTAAACGTCTTTCACGAGCGTCTCGAGTAGATCGTCTCCGAGAACGACCATTTACAACCGATTACATGCCCAATGATCTCGCGTGATTAAACGCCACACGCGCACCTTTGGCAAAGAGGAATAAAAGTAGCGAACAGCAGGTTGAACTGCGTCGATACGATCTAGCCGTATGTGTACGACACATACAGAGTCAGATCGTAATGATGGAACGATAGCGGTCAAAGCCCTGATCACACGGAGACCAAAATACTCTTTACATTGAATTATTGTAGCTTCGATCGAACGAACGTTCGGTTTATAGCGATATATCGTGCGAATTGCCAATCTACGATCGCTTAAATTTCAAATAGCGAAACACGACATGTTGCAAAACCATACTGGCGATCATCATTTTTTGCGTGTGCAGGGGATTATCCCCTATAGAGTCTCACGAAACATCAGTCAACGTCTAAACGTCTCAGGATTCCACTCTGAGCGTCAAGTGGCATTCCTTTCTCCCCTTTATTCATACGTCAGTTGTCGTACAAAGAACAGAGGGATCGGCTGAATTTGAACGGAGCAGGAACTCGTACGCGAGAACTTTCGCAATATTGGTCGAAACATTCCCATCCTTAGATTATTGCCTGCTTGTCCTGTAAACCAACCCCCAAAGTAGATTCGGTGACCGACTGTATGCGAGATTCGCGCTTTGTATTCAGAAAGCGTGTCGCGCAACGTGGCATCTGCCCGCGCACCCCTTACCCTCACGTTGTCGAAATATCCTCTCGATACCGGATACTTGCACCTTGATGTATCGTCATTGTCCTCGTGGAATTGCAAATAATCGTACCTATCCGTCGTCCATCTGCTCTTTCGCGAGTTTTACGTCCGTTAGGAGTTAAATGAGAAGAGAGGGGGGGAAAAAAGGAAAGAAGAAGAAGAAGGGAAAATAGAGGAAAAAGAGAAACGATTCCGGTGGAGCGTTTGCGGTGGAGTTTACCGGAGGGAGTTGGAATTTATTTTTCCGGGATCGAATTCCCACGAACGAAGCGAGACAGCATTGGCGGACAGTTGTTTCTTCGCGGAATTAATTCGAGCCCACGGGGATCGTGGCAAAGGGCCGAACAAGTCCGCAGGCCGGCGATATTTCAAAGCGCTGAAAAGCTGCCGATACAATGGCACGGGCGACGTCGAGCCGCACCGGAACTTGTCTCTCCTTTCGACTACTAAATAAATTAGACTCAGTCACGCCCAATTGGGGTTTCGTGTACGATTTTTCACAGAAGCCGGCGTTACCGATCCGGTGGCGTGCGTTTGTACACGTACGTACTTGCTACACACTCGCAACACGCTTCTCGCCAATGTGTCCAATCTATGT